TGCAGCTCAATATGAGACAAATGATTGTGTGGGATGTGGAGTAGTCAGAAGAGACTCCTGCACAGATGAACAGGAACCTGATGTTAGAATCATACAGGGATATTAATAACCAGGTTTCTTTATTTCTACACATTTCCCAAGTTTTTATTTTTTATATGATACTGACGTCTTGCATTAAGACATAATCTGATCTTCATCCAGGTAACATGTTTAGACAAACACAAACAATTATAGTCTTTTGTGTGTTTATGGACCACACCCAATAAACATTCATAGTACTGCCGGGAGATAAGAAGCAAACTGGTCAAACTCCCTTGGCAGCAATAACAACCTCAAACTAAATTTTTCATAAACTGCAGCTCAGACCTGAGCAAAACATTATTCCCACAGACATGCTTGAGAATGGTTCTCCTAAGGTCAGTCCACTGCATCTCTTCGGACCTGGGCCACTTCAACAAGTGGATTTTCTGTTTGAATTCATTCTGTTGTAGATATTTTTTGGAGGGCAGCAGCTTCATCTGTGGACTCCATTCAGCTCCAATGATTCCTTCAATCCTTTAGTTGTTACTCTGAGCTTCTTTTTCACTAACTGAGCATCTATGTTGTGCCATCGGAGTCATCCTAGCTGGGTGCCCTCTTCCAGGGAGAGAAGCTACTAAATTAAATCATCCCTGTCTTTTTAAGTGTAGCCGCTTTCAGACATGAACATCAACTGAAGTCTGGACAACAGGGTCCAGATGTACGCAATTTGCCTTTCACATATGAAGAAGGCAGCAGGAGATTCACACATTCACAACAACAGGATCATTTCTGGAATATTCAGGAAAGGGGTGGTACAGCATGCGGGAGGCAGGACATAACATATGGAGACCATGTATTTTTGTTTACTGCACATCGACACCAGCATCTGCTGTAATCAACAAAAGCTCTCAAATTTTCGTGTCTTTCAAAGTTGACGTCTTCGTCTGTGTCTTCTATATCTATGACACCTCTTTTTCATCCAGAGATATGTTTTCTTTCTGTTTTTTCTGTTTTGAATCCATGTCATGTTAGAAACGTCAACAGGCCCACTCGCTCGTGGTGAATCCTCTGGATAATATCCTGCTGTATTCTCATGAGCTTGTTCAGACTTGATCTTGAGTTCTTACTCGAGGGCTGGAAGGAGAAACTCTGGAAAGGGTCTAGAGCAACTCACTTGGACATTTGCGTTCTTATATACAGCCCTTCCGGATGATTGCAGGAAATGATCCAAAATTCAGTGCATGAAACTTTAGTTTAGAATTCATCTGAGTTACTTTTTTGCAAGACATGGTACACATCAGCAGATGCTTCTCGTAAAAAGCCAACTCAAAATGTTTCTTTACATTGTCAGACACCAGGTTTTCTAACTCCTGACTACAAATAACTTTCTTTGACTTCATCAGCTGAAGATTTCACATACTTTTCCCAACACACACTGTGAATGTTTGAATGATGTATTCAATACGGATAAAAATGGTGTGTTATTAGTTAAAATAGATTGTTTGCTCATAGATCAGATGATGATCTGACCATATTTCCAAGTATAAACTTAGCTGTCCTCCTTTTGCCAATACAGGAGGCATAGTTTACTCAAAAAGACAATCTCTTCACACATGAATTTATCTGTGTATGGCCTGACAAACGGCTCCTTTGTTTTTGTGCCCTGTGCACAAGGTTGTTGTTGATCCGTCTTGTGTCTGCAGGAATCACCCGTGTGGTGGGGAACAAGAAGGGCGTTTTCACCAGGCAGAGGCAGCCCAAAGCAGCAGCATTCATCCTGAGAGAGAGGTACTGGAGCCTGGCTAATGAAACAGGCAGACTCCCACCCTGGACCAAGTACCCCTGCTCGCTCTGACACCTGCACCCGGTCCAGGACAGGCTCGATACCATGTGAGCACTACGCCTTGAGGGAAGTTGTGAAATTAGTTTCTCTTGAGGAAATTAACTTAAGCACGTACGGTGTGGGACAAGTCCTTTGAAACCATCTGAGTGTGTGAGGAGTTAGACCAGCATGAAACACAATTTAGCTATGCTATTTCTGTGGTGTGCTATTTATGAACCACCAACACTGCATTCAGGGGTTTTCCAGCAATCTGAAACATGTTTCAGAACATTAAAACGATCTTTGATGCTGATTAAAACTTCCAGGGCTAAATCAATAGCAGAATTCATATTTTGCTATAATATATATAATTGTTTTACTGTTTCTTTAGGATAAACCTGAGAGTTAAGAATGGATGTAATGAAGTTGTTACAGGACGTTCTGATACAGATTTGTGACGTGGTGCATCTCAGTTGCTGTCATAAAAAGGTGATGTGAAAAACCAATAAATCATCAGTGATAAGCTCTGAACTTTTCCTCCAGTCGGATGATAGGAGATCAACTGACAAATGACATGACGCTATAAAGCCACTCTTAAGGAAATGTGTCGCCACATTAGTTCCTCTGTCATTTACTGTCCTTTGTACAGATAGCCTGACTCTGTTCTAAGGTTGTTTCAAACATTCTTTTAAATGTGAATAACAATGCTGAATCTTTTCCCAATGAAGTGCTTTATTTTTCTATAAGAATCAAGATATTAAAGACAAAATGAGATCTATATGCAAACAGAATATTTTTTTTGAACCCCCCCCTTAACATTTTCAACTTTACTCACGATGCAGCTTTGTAGTGTGTGTACTTTACAGTCCAACTGAATGTAAAATATAATATTTAACCTAGAGGGTTACATGGTGCGTTGATTGTTGATGGTGGCGTGACTGTAATCAGACCTGTCACTATCAGTGACTCTGCTTGACCTTTGTGTTACAGCTGGACAAACACTGAATATTTAGACTCTGCTTTTGTCTTTGCAAACACAGTGGCTGAGAGTTTGTTCACTTAAAAGAAAAAAAGAAAAAATCTTTACTTTGGTATAAAAAAAATCAGCCGTTAGACAAGTTTCCCCTCATTTTTGCATTGCAATTGGATTCGGCCCCTGTGTAACTTCTGTTTACACAACAATCGCATTACATAATTTCATTGATGTCTGTCTTTGAACACACTGTTCTATCTAAAACTTCCTTGTAACATTAAAACCATTAAACAGAGTCATTATCAGTGCTGATTCTTACCAGCATGAATCATATATATTAATATAATTTTATGGTCACACTGACATCAAGGTTTAGACACATGCTTATTTTAGCTGTTTGAGGGATACAGCATGCTTTATACAAGATTGGTGTTTAATGGCATTTTATTTAATCTTTTTTAGTGTTATAGTGTATCTATGTTGAACTGAGGGACAGAAACACAGAGTGAATTTAGCTTTAAAAAGTGGTAAAAAGTAAATGTGGTTGATATTTATGTAGCTTCAGACTGTTGAAGCTCTGGGAACAGGACTTTTAAATTCCAGGGTGAACAGGTGGAGAACTACATTAAACAAAACTTGTTTCTGTTTTCATGAACTCCCTTTTATTCCTCATGTTCTGAAACTTGAATTGATTGTTATGGTTATGGTTTAGCTGGGGAAGGAAAGTCTGAAGAGGTTGGTTTTGAGGGCCTTTTTAAATGATAGCAGTGTAGGGGCATTTATGATGTGAGGTGGTAATGAGTTCCACAGAGAGGGGGCGGCTGATGTAAACGCCCTGTCACCCCAGGTTCAGCTCTTGGTTCTAGGGACCTGAAGGAGGTTGGCATCAGCAGATCTGAGGTGTCGGGTGGGGGTGTGCTGGTGGAGGAGGTCAGAGAGGTAGGGGGAGCCAGGTTGTTGAGGGTCTTGTAGTCGTGAGTAGAATTTTGAAATGTATCCTCTATTTTACTGGGAGCCAGTGGAGGTCATGGCGGACTGGGGTGATGTGATCAGTTCATCAGGTAAGGAAATACTGGAGTTTGTGAAGGACTTTGTCTGTGGCACCAAAAAGTGAACTGTTGCAGTAGTTGAGTCTGGATGTTACAAATGCGTAAATGAGTGTTTCTGCAGCAGTAGGTGAAAGGAAGGTTCGGCGGGTGATGTTACAAAGGTGGAAGAAGGCTGCTTTGGTGATATGGTTGCCATGGGGCAGGAATGAGAGGTTGGGGTCGAGGATGACGGATTTGGGTGGAGGGGGTGAAGATGGAGCCATCAATATTGAGTTTGAATTCCAAAGTGGGGCGTGTAAGGGAGTCTGGGCCAATGATTAAAATTTCTGATTTATTGCAGTTGAGTTTTAGAAAGTTTCTTTGCATCCATGTTTTAATGTCCATTAGGCAAGTGGTGAGGGTGGAGAGAGTGGCAGCAGTGATGGTCTTGGAGGAGAGATAGACCTGAGTGTCGTCAGCATAAGAGTGGAACCAGAGGCCATGGCAGCGGAGGATCTGTCCAAGTGGTAGCATGTAGATGATGAAGTGAAGGGGACCACGCACCGAACCCTGGGGGACACCATGGGTGACACCATGGGTGCCAGGAACTGTGATGGATTTGTGGTTGTTTATTGAGATGAATTGCTGTCTGTCGGAGAGGTAGAGTTGGAACCAGGTGAGGGCAGTGCCAGTAATGCCGAGTGTGGTTTTGAGGCATGTGATGAGTGTGGAATGGTTAACGGCGTCAAAAGCTGAACTGAGGTCGATGAGAATGCTGATGGAACAATGATTCTCTCCAGTACTTTTGACAGGAAGGGCAGGTTGGAAATGGGCTGGTAGTTATTGGGGGAGTCATTATTATTATTAGTAGTTGTTGTTGTATAAGGTTTTTTTTTTTTTTAAATAAAGGTTTTTAATTTGTTTATTATGAGGAGCTCTATTAGTTTTGACATAGTTCAGAATTCATAGCTAAAACTTTCTGACGTTTTTTTCCCTGCAGTGTCAAATTTTAAGTGAAGCCCGAAACCCTTGACTATTGTTTTTAAGAAAAACTGTTGACTCATCTTTTAATGTGATGATTAAATTCAGCAGTAATCCCAATGAAACCACACTGTGTTGACTAATTACTTTCATTCAAATAACTAAAAGCAACAGATAGTTTCAGAGGGAATGTTTTAATGGTAGATCATTTCCACATGACAATGAAACAATTAAAAATGTACTCATGTCAACCTTTTCCACAGTTTTCCCTTAAGAGAATATGGATGTGAACAGATTATTTTCCTCGCACCCTCCTACCATTCATGTAACACTTTTCCATGTAAGAAAATACAGCATTTTAAAACATATTTGGCAATACAGAAGCAAACCCGGCAAGTTTTCCTCCTCAAAGAAATTTAATAAACATTTTATGCTGACACATGGATTCCTATAGCCCTCCAACCCCTCAACTTTTAAAACTAAAATAACCCAGAATGTTAACAGTCTATACAGCTAAAGGGCATAATTAATGATGAAAAGGAACATTACAATCATGTAGTTCAACAGTGTGTGTTCATAGCTAACAAACATGTCCTAGCTAGAGAAAATAAAGATGATAATAATACAGTGGAGTTCAGGTAGGGGGAAATGGAACGGCCATTGATTTGACAGAACATTTTGTCCGGCAATTTCTGAAAGGATTTTTGCACTGACGCTGAATATTAAATCTTTGGGAATTGACCAATTTATCCAATTACATCTTAAGTTATCATTCTTCATTTTACAAGGCTGTTACTGTTACTTGTCTTTGGCTCAAGGCCTAGTGATCATACAGAAGGCACTTTTATTGGCATTGGTGATGCAACTAACATGGCAGTTATACCTCAGGGCCTAAGCGAATATTCATGGAAATGCAGTATCAACCATTTCGACCTATTTTTGACATATCATCACACAACATTGTGGTCCTTTTACCAGCAAAATATTTCAAACATTTAACATCCAAATTCCATCTTTAAAGTAACCGCACATAACTTAGTGTAATAGGTTTGCATATGACTGGAACCATTAACGTAATGATAGGCTAATTCTCGCTTGTCTATGGTCAACGCTCACAGGGTCCATAGATGTTGCCAAAAAACCAGCAAGTAATGTCAGATCGACTTGTCCACATACAGAAAAACTTCTCACTTTTGTAAGTGAATGCTCATTGTTGCACATGCTTCCTCAGGAAAAGGACAAAGACAAAACAGTGATGCGATTGTATGTCTCATTCTGACTTAAATGAATGAGAACCAGATGTGAGCCTGCCCAGGTAATACTGTAAGGAAGCTCTTAAAAGATGACTTTGAGAAATGATGGCAACTTTGCTACAAATCATGTCAACGTAGCATAACTGGCAACCAGTTTCCAAGGTGAATCATAGTGTTTAGATGAGTTTATCCTCCATGCAGCCAGTGGTTCACATTCACTTCTGTGTGGCATTAAAGATGTAAAGAAAACAGGAAATTTGTTTAAAGGACCAGTGTGTAAATTTTGATTCTTCTAGTGGTGAAGTTGCAGATAGCAGCCAACTGAACACACCCCAAATCCACCATTTCCAAACACGTAGAGGAGCCTACAGTGGTTTTCAAGCAACATAAAAACACAAGAACCTATCTAAAGCTACTGTAGAAATATGACAGGTTGTGCAAAAAAGAAAACAGTCCTTTTAAGATAACAAAAACAATTATTACATTCAGGTCATTATCCTTTTTTTTTTCAGATTATATTGCATTTCTGCTAATATATATATCTATTAATCCTACACACTGGTGCTATTAAAATTGGGAAAGCTACTGATTTTACACATCAAGTCCACTAACAGGTCTTGGGGAGCACCAGTGCAAATATGCTGTTTAAAACCTGTTGTGGCTCAAAAAAGAAGCTGTGGAAAAAATATCAAATATCCTGAAATGACTACAAGCTTGAAAATGGAAAAAATAATCTCAGGTTCAGAGTAAGAACTGAGCTGGAATAGAGATACTGACCTGAAAAACTGTACTAATAATCTTCACTATGAAGGACTAAAGGAGTTAAAGGTCCAGTGTGTAAGACTGAGGGAAAAAGAATCTACTGGCAGAAATTTAATATTGGTAATCCTAGTGATGTTTTCACAAGTGTGTAAATATCTCAATTGTACGGATTGTTTTTTTCCTCTACCCTAGGAGGGACCCTTTATATTTAAATACTTTACATGAGGAGCAGGTCCTCCCTATGCAGGCCTCCATGTTATTTTACAATAGTCCAAACTATACAAACCAAAACCTTCTGAGTTTTTATGACAACTGAAGGCTACCACAGGTTCTCTTTCATGTTTGGAAGGAGAGGGTGAGGTGAGGGGTATTCAGCTGCAACATGCAACTTTACCACTAGCTGTCACTACATTTTACACACTGAACCTTTAAGTGTCAGGTCTTGTAAAGTTAACATCATACCACTGTGAAACGATTGGAAACCGCTGCCTGCCTGAAATATAAGAAACACTGTTTCAAAACATAGAACACATTATGCTTTGGAAAAACTATAACAGTGATGTCAGACACCGTACATCTGATGGATCGTAAATGTGCCACAACATGCAAAAACAGACAGTTTCACTTTAACAACATCTGAGGAAACAAAAAACTATCACCTCAATGTCCGTTTTCATTTACAACTGATGACTTCATATGTTAACACAGGAAGCACGTCACTGAAATTACTTTCCTGACTGTTGCTATCATCAACACGTTAACAACCTACAATCCATAAAACTTCCATTAAAACATGAAGGGGTAAGATGGAGATGAGCAGTGATGGGAACTATCAACAAGCTGGTTTAACACCACAGATGAATCACATTATTACAGTTATTACTATGACTGTTATAGATCTTTGACAGTGTGTTTAAGATTGTCCGATGGCCACTGTGTACTCAAAGCCAGGAGATACTGTACCATGCATCTGACAAGTATGACACTTGAACCAGTGGATTTTTTTATGGAAAAGAGACTATGATCCTACTCTGTCACTGAAGTGACACTACTTCCAACAGAGCCACCACAACACTGATCCATCTCTGTACAAACCTTCCTCTGTTACATCAACCACTAAATGAGAAGCATCAGTGTGACAGAAAACCATCAGCACCCTGAATGTTTGTCCCACTAGAGGAAATACCCCACAAACTACATATGGCTTAACTTGTTTTGTTACATGATCCTCCACGTTGTCATTCTTCTGCCGTTTATGTCAGCAAATGATTTCACGTCCTGTAAATGAACTGTAACTCAGCTTGGCAAGATCACAGCTACTGTTCAATTGACATCAAATGTATACAGGCCTGGACTAGTGAACGAAAGCCAGGACAGTGAAGCAACAGAAAAGCTTGAGATGCTTTTGCCATCAGGCCACTCTACTCTTGAGCAGACAATCACAGTGTAGCAGCCTTTGCTACCTAATGAGACTATAAGGGAAAGAGAAACACTTGACTGGTATCTTAATTTAAAAATGAGATGTGATCAGAAAAAAAAAAATCCTTGGACCTGTGACGAGTAAAATTGGTGTTACCCCCCCCCCCCCCAAAAAAAAACCAACAAACAAGGTAATTCAGCTTAACATTCCTTTAGGCACATAAGTCTTTATGGATCCCACATGCGTGGTGGTCAGGAATGCTTTTCACACAATAACAAAACCGAAATCAAAAAGTGAGGATGCCTTGTATGCTAACTTGGTGAAATTAACCTATAGTGCTGTTTTAAAAGACTTGTGTCGGTGGCTTCAGATGAAACAGTAAGAAATCCACACGACTCTGAACTGCATGCCTGACCAGGATGATGGGACAGAAGATGTACCACGCACATCTTCAGACTCATCCACCCTAACTGTGACCTCCACCACTTTTTATTCCACATTTACTGATCGGTTTTCTTCTGTTTTGTTGTTCTGATCTTTTTTTTCTTTTGTTAAAAGTTTGTGTCAACACTAAATCACAATCTAGCCTTGACTAGCCTTGAATATTGCTCAGCAGCTATTTACAGAATTGCAAAACAAACAATCTGATCTACACACAATATCTCACATTGTCCTGTGTTTATTTTTAGTGGTCCTCTTCACAAAGAAATGTTCTACAAAGTGTAAACATGAAAACAAAAACAAAAAAACCATTCTGTATAAATGTGACTCGTTTTGTCCGCCCACCCTGCCATAGAAACTTATCTGCAAACTACGATAACCTTAATGAGTGTTTTTCTAATTCAGGGACCCATTACTGGCTCCAAGTTTTAGTGCAGATCTGCTGTGCAGTAATAGGACCTTTTTAACCATTTCAAGTAAACCCCGTTTAATGTCCCGTTTTTTTTCTTCCATTCTGCGATCCTTTTTGTTCAAACGAGAGCCGTCCTCCATCAGTCTGTATTGTGGCCCTCTGCCTCATCCTGTTGTTGTGTTTCCCCACACACAGGTGCATACTCTCTCACACACACACACACAACCAGCCCCCTCTTTAAGTGAGTACAATGTTAAACAAAGGTAAAAGACAATAAAAGAAAAATCATCTTTTCACTTACACATCCTTCCATGTTTGCAATCAACACTGAGATGTCAGGCCCCAACATTTAAGTTAAATTTCTTCATTTTTTTGAACAGACAGCAGAATAAACATTGTTTGGAAGCAAGGTCTCCTGGTGGCAAGTCAAATGTTCAGAGGTCTTTTCTTTTTTTGTTGTTGTTTGTTTGTTTGTATTTTTCTTGCCGTTCTTGACAGCTTAGTCCTGCTTTGCCTGGAGCTGCTGCTTCCAGGCCTCGTTCAAGTAAACCAGTCGCTTGTAGTTGAGAATAAAGAGAATGAAGTTCAGCGCATATGTGGTGATGCAGATGATGCAGAAGTCCTTTAGGACAAAGTAGAGGATGTAGCCCAGGTAGAGCGAACCCACCACCGACAAAATGGATGTCGTCATGAGAATAAGGGCGGCCATTGCACTGACAGTCATTCCTATGGCAAGAAACACAGACTAAGGCTTAGGCAAGTAACCGTGAGGGAAAAAAACACAACCTTTCATCACACATGCAACCTGATGAGTCTGCTCTTGTCACAATGCTTTCACCCTCACAGTTCTCTATTTATATGATGAGCCTCCTCGTGATGACATTTAGCTCAAACACTGAATAGACTGGTCAGACTATTCTGTTGTCACATGAGGTACAGTCATAGTTCTAAGGCTGAGTCTCCTATGTGTTTGTGCTTGTGATAGCAGCACAGATGAGGATTCTCTCTTGCTGGAATTATTTCATTTACCTACCTGCAGATGTACATTATTGGGTGTGCTTGATTCAATACAGGAGTGTTCAATTTAATCACTGTTTTACATATTATCAATGTTATTGATTATTAATGATAGCAATTAAAATCCTGACATTAGGGCTGCAACAATCAATCGCTCAATTGATCTGTGATCTACAACCGAATTAATCGCCAACTATTTTGATAATCAGTTAATTATTTTGAGTAGTTTTAGTGAAAAGAAAAAAGTGACTAATTTCTGGTTTAATGACAGTTAAGATCATTTGTTTGGTTTATGGAAAAAAAAAAAAAACATTTGAGGAGGCAATGTTGGCATTCAGGAAACACAGATCGACATTTTTTAACATTTCTTGACATTTTATGGACCAATCGTCCTTAGTTGCTGCCCTACATGACATACAATGGAGCAGGGTCCAGTGGTGGAAAATAACTACTCAAAAGTGGGCAGTGTGGGACTTTTTATATATAAATGAATGGTTGTTATAGTCGAGCCCTCTCCAGGAGCCCTGAGTTCACACAAAGTTGATTAAGCCTGTCAGCGACAGGTATAGCTCTGTGTTGCGCACCTACCGCACTGTAAACTGGTAGTGTCGCTTCTTACATCAACCTGCAATGATTGGTGCTGAAAAAAGGTGCAAAAGTAGCAACAGAGATAAGGGAAGCAAAAAATTGATGTTGTTCTACCATGTTGGAGAACGCTAACAGAAGAGAGGGGACTGAGGTCAGACCTGTAATTGTAACTATTGATATTTATGAGTGTATTAGACCATTGTGGGTCTAATCACGTTGCAAATCACTGCTTTATGGACATATATTTTTATTTTTATTATATTTCCATAAATTTAATTTGATTTGAAAAGGTATTTAATTTGCTGGATTACCCAAGAGGACTTTATTGTTAGAAGCAGTACATTCTTGGGAAAGATCATAACTATAGCATTAAGTTCACGTGAATGTGATATTTTGATCAATCCATTTCAACGTCAGTCCCAAGCTGTACAACGGTACTGAACAGAACTTAAAGCATTGGTTATGCAGATCTTGGACTTGTGCCTACTTACAAATACTGGTAAATTCAATGCTGTGAGAGTAATCCAAGTTCTGAAACTGAGTGGCCATGATTTTAATATGGAAATCTTGACACGCTGTAGACATTTGACTTAACTGGGCTTCTATTGTTTTAGGCAAATGAGTGCTAACTACTGTGGCTTAAAGGACCTCTTGTTCCTTGCCAGTGCCAGGTGGCCAGTCAAGTCTACAGACCCCCCCAGCAGGCGAACATGTCAAAACCACATGACTGAGTCAGCATTAACACCAATGAGAAGTGCCTATGAATGTGATCTGAGTGGGGAAACCTTTTGAGAAATAGAACATAAGCAGACAAATGTATCGTGACTCTTCACTGTCTTTGACTGAGAGAAACACATCATTATTAGGACCCCCCCCCCCGCCACAACTGCCATCACCTTACTTAATCTTACTGGTTCTTCACTTATATGTTACGGATGCACTCTTAGGAGAAATTTAGTAGTAAAAAAAACACACAAATTATTATTTGCATTTCAACAGAGTGTGCTTCAAAGTATACACAGCCACTTACAGCCATGTCACTGTCATGTGGGTCAGGTTTAGTCAAATAAAGCCATGACAGTGGAAGGCAAAGTACTGAGTGAGCATTAGATCCTAGTGCAGCAGTACAAGAGATTTGTCACCAGAGACAGTTAAATAAGAATAGCATGTTACCTAGTAGGAGCTGAAAGGCATAAAAGACAATCCCATAGACACTGTTGGGTTGGTTCAGTGCACTGTCATTTCCAAAAATTGAGCCTAAGAGTCCAAATCCTCGACCCCACCTAAAAAAGGTAAAGAAGAAAACAGTTAAAGCTTAAGTTCAGGGAATGTAAAGGAAAACTTCTGTAATTTAAAAAGAATGGATGAGAGTAGAGTACTATTAAAACCCAATGAGTCACACTTAATGGAAATAAGATTTACAAAAAGACACTGTACGGAAATAAGTTCCAGTGATAGAAGTGATGAAATATTTGCTAGGAATATTTCCAATTTTTTTCAGTAACAGTGAAATACCTCTGTAACCATAACTAACATAGTGACCCTTTGAAGGCACTTTATTTAGCTGTGTTGGAGTGTTTCAGTGACACAACCCCTGGTTAACACTCTCTCGTCTCTACCTGTTCATCAATATCTTTAAACGTCCATAAAACATGAGGTCTAATCTTCTAATTTCTGTCTCCAGTAAAAATGAATACAAATTTCAACATGAATACAAATTTCAACATACTTTTTAATATGCTGATAGATTTCTTTCAAGGAAATTCACAATAGCAGGCAGACTACAAAATCATGTCTGAAGCGATCTCTCTCCTCTAAGGTGCTAAGAACTAAGTTTCATTTCTTGCACAGCAACCATGACTTTAAAAAACAATAATGACCAATAAGCTCCAGAGTTCCAGCACAGAATAGTAAAACAATTTCAAATACACCATATATTAGGGTATATCTTCTTATATACAGTTTTTTGCTAATTAAACTTGCTCTTTTTTTAATCTTGTGTTTTAGTGAACACTGGAGTTAATTCAGCATGGATGTTAAAAGTTTTTTATCATTCATTTAATGCTGTAAAGCAGGGGAATGAAAGTAAGAGGTTGGTTCAATGACTGAAACCATTGTTTTATTTATTCTCATATACCACAACAAAATGCCCAATTTTGTAACTTTACTAAGAATCAACAACAACCAGTCGACTTCTAATGATATTCTATAAAATATATGTGCAGAGAAATGTCTAAATATTATTTAAAAGATGCATGTAATAGTCTAATTGTACAATATGTTTAGCAATGTCATTTAATTTAGCACTTTGTGGGAAACAATTATTCTTGTTCAAGCTTTCCATAAATTTCACTGGGACAGGCATTCAGGTTTGTGTTTGGAGGCTTTATCTTATACTGATTAACATTTGAGGAGACATACACAAACCAGGTAATTTAAAGTACACAAATACAATAAGACGTATTATCAAACACAGGGTATTCATAACTCGTCCCTGTAGTAACAGAGATTTGACTGCTGAAACTAAGACTGTTTGGACTTAAAGGTCCAGTGCGTAAGATTTGGGTGAAAAGGGATCTATTGGCAGAAATTGAATATAAAATAATCCTAGTCATGTTTTCACTAGTAAGTGATCATCTACATTGTCTGAATTGTTGTTTTCTTTACCCTAGAATGGGCCTTTTATATTTAAATACTTTATATATACATCAGGAGCAGGTCCTCTATACAGAGACCACCATGTGTTTTACAGTAGCCTAGACTGGACAAACTAAACACCTTATGAGTTTTTATGACAACTGAAGGCTGCAACAGGTTCTCTGTCATGTTCGGAAGGGGAGGGTGAGGTGAGGGGTGTTCAGCTGCAACATGCAACTTCACCACTAAACATCACTAAATTCTACACACTGAACCTTCAACTCAACTGCTAGGATTCTTCATCTAAAAGTAAATTATGACTTTCAGTTCATTAAATGCAAAACATACTCACAACTGATTTACAGTTTGTTTTTGGTGACAATGGTGAGACTGTCCCTAACTGTCAGACAGAGGATTTGCGCACTCATTTAACAAATATGTAATAAGTCACAGACAGGTTGCATTCCAGGTATGTTGCTATGATTCCAAAGCCTGCACAGACTCTGACTCAGTGAGAGAAAGAGGATTCACTTGGTTCATCAATAGTTGCATGTCCACAGTTCAGCCAATAAATTGGTGTTTGCTTAATGAGTGAACCAACTTTGTACCCATCGGGAACAAACCAAAGCAAGACTAAATCTGTGGAACTGTGACTTGTTATCTAACTCTTAGGTGGCCAACAATGCTCCAGCTCCCCCTGACCTCTGAAGCAGCTACAGTATGTGCACTGTCCCTGGAGGTAGCCAGAGTTCAGATTTAAACCCTGGTAGTGACAATAGCATTACAGCTAATGACAGCAGCCCTACAGTTACCCTGAACACTAGCTAGCAGGTTAGAAAGTTAAGATAGCCAATGCTATCAACATTGAGACAGCGGGCATTCAGAAATCATACAGATTTCAAGTAGACTTGAATGAAAAAGCTTCACCCGGCAACAACACAGACCAACGATAACGTTAGTCCGGACAAGCTATCGTCAACATTTGTAATAAAGTTGTTTTAACAGAAGTATTACCCTTTTATACACAAGCATAGCCCAACGTGCTGCAAACATTAGCAATTAGCCATTCATTAATTTATAATTCAACGATGCTGAGGGCTCTCTGCTGACAGCTAACTGGCTAGGAAGTATGACATGGGTTTCGTTAGCTAACGCTTAGCTAAAGTTAGCTTCGTGGGGCTAACTAGGTAGCAAATGATGTGCTTATCAAATGAAACACTTCACTTGTTTCAGACACTATCATTCCGCCCGCAGAATGCTAGCAGGGAAGCTGCGCTGCTAGCCCCAGTGTCAGCCGGGGGCATTTGACAGTTTAAACCGCGGAGCCCTTCCCCAGACTGTACAATAGCAGCCAGGCAGCCCCATTGAGCGCCACTGTGTGTCGGCGGTCTTTGCTGAATTCAAATTACCTTGAGCTAAACACTTTGGAGCAGCTGATGGAGCTGCTGACGTCGCACATCGCCGTGTAGCCCGGGTCCCGAGCCTTTTCCCTCTCGACGTGGAAGGCGTACAGAGACAGCAGAATGCCCAGCAGACACACGAGGAGCCGGGCTATTCTCTCCCACCGAGGGGTGGACACTCTCAGGACGGGCGCCGCCATCACTCTCTGGCCTAGCTGGAGACACGCATACATACGCAGCGAGCTCGTCTGTGAGACGGAGCGGCGACGTGGAAAAGCGTCAGGACGCGCCACACCGTGAGGGGCGGGTCGCCGAGCAGCGGAGGACCAGGGAGGACTCGATCCCACTGCGGAAACACTGCCAGCGGTACAACATGCAAACTAATCATAGAGGTTTATAGTGTGCGTGTGTGTGTGTGTATCTGTCTGTGTGTGTGTGTCTGTGTCTGTGTGTTTGCGTGCGCGTGCGCGTGTATACAGGTTTTTTTTTTTCCTTTATAAAAACACAGCTAAAAGATAAACATATTAAAGTGTGACAGTGCAGTAACAGTATAATAATGATATAATAGGAGTAAGTAATCTGGGATATTGCGCATGAGATTGATGTAGTAGTAGAGTAAATGTATTAAAGTACTTTTTTAAGTAAATAGGGTACTTGCACTTGAGCAGGTCTTCTTTATGCTTTATTATACTTTTCCTCGTCTGCTTTTTTCTTTATTCCATATATCAGTTTAACAGCTGAATAAATCATCATTTTTTACTATATATACAGTACGTAACTGAACATGAGTGAACTCCACCTACCCCAAATAAAACATGAATGTTCCTCTTGTATATGAATTCATGAAAACTAATTTATACAGTAATATTATTACACTGGCCGAGGCTGTTCAGTATAAATAGAACTCTTCGTATTGATATTTGCTTCACATTGTGTTGTTTCAATCAACGAAACTTTATTCATATAGCACCTTCAGTACATTACTTTGTTACTTCTTTTGGACCTTTTAACGCATAAACACTGACCTTGTCAGGACCAATAGGCCTCATGAGGACCAAAGCCCGGTCCCAATGAGAAAAAACATCATTTCTGAGGTCCTTAAGGTTAGTGGTAAGATGTTAATTCTAGTGAGGTATGCAAGGCATGGTCATGGTTAAGGTTATGGAAAAGGTTTTGGTAAGTCTGTCCACAGTGAATGGACGTCCATGCATAGTCCTAACAAGGACAGCTGGGCAAGCCTGTGTGTGTTATAGGCCATTTGGGAGCATACTTCTGAGTTAATACCAGTTCATTTGGGATAGTTTTTCCAATTGGAGACTTTGTCACTAATTGTAAAACTAGATATTTGGTTCAGTGGTAATGGAAAGGATCTAAGTCTGTCTGTCTGTCTGTCTGTCTGTCTGCTTGCCTGTCTGTCTGTCTGTCTGCCTGTCTGCCTGCCTGCCTGCCTGTCTGCCTGCCTGTCAGCGATAACTCGAAATCAAAGTTTGCTAAAGTATAGGAACCACATGAGTAGACATATACTGTACATAAAAGATAATTATTGAAATGTTCTCATATATGAATACTGAAACATTAAATTGATGTAACATGATAAAAAACAATGACAAGACAATGCAGGATTGATATTATATATTACTAGCTACATGCCGGCATCAATATACATGAAACTTTATATGTGTTTGTGATCTAAATTAAGGCTAAGTTTAAAGATGGGTGTGGACTGACCACAGTACTGAGGGTGACTGCTGTAAAGAGCATGTTGAGGTGGGATCACATGTTGACGTTCACATCCATGAGCTCTCACAAGTTAAAACTACATTATATGAGTGCTCAGAAGTCTTGAGTAGTCATACCCTCAGTAACATTACAGCAAAACTTAATTTCAAACATTGTTTTGGAATGAATGTTGTCATAAATTACATACAAATAACACTAGTGCTAATATTCACAACACAAGGAATACTGAAAAGACGTAAAATTGCATGGAACAAGTGATGAATGTCAATTTCACAATAACAAATCCACTTATTTATTCAAGCAGAAAGTGTACGCTCCCACTTCCGCAGTCTGTGGCACAGCCGCGGTCACGTGACTATGTGTATATAAACACGGTGTGACATCATCTGTTTACAGTTTTCTGAGACTCTCCGCTGAGAAACTACTCCGCTTCCAAATGGCGACAGACTTGGAAAGATTCGTCTCTTTCGAGGAGACGTATTACGATCAGTATGACTATTACAACCTGCTGGAGTACTCGTGCCACGCCTGTGGCAAAGGAAGGTCCAAGAAGGAGATCGAGCTGAACACAAACCGCCATTGCCCCGCAGGACACGAGAGGAAGATCGCGGAGAAATTTCACAACAGCGAGATGAAGCGCAGGAGAACCAAGAGCGCGTCGTCTTGATGGCCTGTTTTACGACGTTTATAGGTAATACTGTCCCTCTGTGGTCTGAATATGCTGTTTATATGTTTTGGAATGTGCCTGTGTATATTCAACCACAGGCCTCTGAGATAGAAAATGCCCGACCTGATGTTTACATAAACGAGATCCAGCAAGTCAAGGCACCTCCCATTACTGTGGAGTGAATAACAACCACCTTTATGCTTTGCTCTATTTACTAGGACAGTCAATTGTATCTGCTATTTCCCTTCTAATAGGTTTTTATGCCACCTTTTGTATATATAATCAATAGCTATGCTCCATTTGTTTGGCATACCTGAATAACTGCAGAAATAATTCCATGTTTGATGCCTTAAAATTGGCCTTATAATTTGATTCGTTGTCATCATAACTTATGAAAGCTTATGAGATACAGTCTTTTAGAATGAGTATTCTGATTACAAACAACAACAGATTTGTTTTGTTTTTTGATAAAAAATGCCCCCCAAAAAACTCAACGTGTCCCTTTCCTGCTTTCACCTGTTGTGTATTATAAATTGAACACACTTTGGACTGTTGGACAGACAAGTAATTAGTGCAACAGATCAACATACATCTTGTGAAACAGTGATGGACATATTTCACAATTTTACCTTCACAGTTCATTCACTTCATAGACTAATACAAATGATCTGCAGACGAATTGATGATGAAATAACGTTAAACTGCACTTTGTTTGTACTTTGTAATGACCATTTATTTCTGATTCGCCCACAGATCCGGACTAAAGTTGGATTTCTGATGTTGACCATGACAGAGTGTCTCTGCCTGTCCTGTCCCAGTGAATGGAGCTCTGTGACAACAGGACAATCCCAGTAATCAGTCACGAGACTGCCCTCCATTCCACCCTGTAACTTGACCTGCTACACACAAGTTACAGCTGTGCAAGAATAGTTTGTCTTGAGCTATATAGGTCAGTGGTGTGTGTGCTTGATAAATGTATATGAATAGATATGGTTGCTTCTGTGGGTTCAGAGGTCATTGTACTTTATTTTAAATCAAAAAATTGGAATAAAAGTGATGTTATCTAAACCAGCTTGAGTTGTTTTATTTCTGTTGCTCACACATCATAAGTAGTTGATTTAATTCATCCGGTGTAAATCTGTTAAATGTCACTGTTTTGCATTATTAGTGATGTGATAATGCAGCATTGATTCTTCTACCCCTCTTTTTTAGGTGTGGCATGCAGACCCAGAAAAAATATTCCTTTGAAAATGCTGAAGTATATTTATCACATGTAGCCTAGAAAGATCTATTTTTTGTGTTTCTAGCATTTTAAATTTGTATGATCATGAATACTCATATGAGATATTTAGGTTTTTAACTCTGATTGATTGTAAAACTGGCTGCACATGGGTAGTATGTCAACAGCAGGATAATGAAGAAAGCAGCAAAGAATTAAAATTGCATGCAACTGGTGGATATGGAAAAACACAATCACAAAAAAGTTAAATAATTGAATGATGGCTAAATTAGTTTCTTGTGCTCCAGTTGAACCAGAGACTCTACAACTCTAATCAGTGTCTGGATTTTATTACTGTAGGACTACTTCCTGTATGAGGCCAAGCTCGGTGAATTACCAGCTTTTATTTTGAAATAGAGGCGAGCCTATCGGAACCGAAGTCACTCATTTCCTGTTCTTCGCGGGTATTGACGTCAAGTGAGCGATATCAAGTTGACCAAGTCTTTCGACATTTAGTTTTCTTTTATAGTTATCAGGATGCAGATCTGCAGCGTGTGCAGCGAGCACACACCAAAATACAGATGTCCAGCCTGCAAAATAAGATAGTAAGTAACTTTAGCTTCCTGTCTGCAAGCTAGCTAGCGAATCTTCTGTTAGCTTCCCGGCTGTTCGGCTTAGTTTTCTACACTTTGTAATCAAGAGTTAAAACTGTCACTTAAATAAAAAGAATGTTCTGGTAAGGAGATACGTAAATGTGCGCGACGCAACCCTTGAAGAATACAAACCATCGTTACAGTTCTGTTTTAATTGTAGCATTGTGGCTCCCAGAGAATTAAAACACGTGGATGTGTCACATGAGAAGGAGTGAGCGTCACTTGTTCACTGTCCGGGTTTGTACCTCTTTATATACAGTCTGTGGTTTGTACCAATGGCCTTAAGGTTTCACATGAAAACAACAGACATCTATAGCGCATGTTACGGCAACACAGAAGGGTCAAACAACTTCGCGATTTCATGTCGTCACAGCCCTCTGTTGACTTAACATCGTCTCACTTTTCATTGATTAGTTTTTAATATCTAAAATAATCCCGTTGTTTTCCCTCCTGCAGTTGCTCCCTTGGCTGTTATAAGCTACACAAAGGTAAAGGGAATGACCCCGGTCTTTTATTGTGGTGATGTTGACACACTCATAGGATTTATTTAACATCATTAGTCGGATTTATTTTCTCCATAGACACTTGCCTCCCTGTTGCTCAGCCTACACCCACTGATCCTGAAGTGAGGGACACTGTGACCTCAGGTATGGAGCAATATCTCATTATCCCTTTGATTCCGTTTCTTTGTGAAGTGTTCAATGTCCACTTCAATCAGCAAGGACACAAATTGTCAAATTATTGACATATGTGTGGGCAAAACTATTAGGAACACAATACGGAACATGCGTGAAGTCATATCCACATTAAAATGAAAAGCCTAAAAATGAAACTTAGCATTTCTAAATGTTCAAAATCTAATTGTTTTAAATTTCAGTGACATTTACCATATAGTCAGGCATGTGAATTTTGATCCATTGCTGTAAATAAACATACTACTGTGGTGAGTGGTGGCTTTTGGAACTTACATTTTTGTACGGGTGAAAGTGTATTTGTTAAAAATCTAAGATATTTAATCACAGTAAAGAGATTAAGCTCTTCTTCCATGTGAAAAGCACCTTTGTCTTCACCGTGTGTGCAGAGCCTTGGACGGTTGATGATCTTCTGCATGAGGAGGACATCATTGACAAAGTGCCTCTGCAGAGACTCCAGGTGTTAGGTAGCAATCTAACATTACCTAATCATAACCCTTCAGTGTTCATCACTATGTTTTCGTGGACAGCAATGTTCTGATATTAACATGATTGAGACAATAGTCTGTATGACATTTCTGTGTAAACAGCAGAATAATCACTAATCAAATTAAGACGTGTAGTATTCTAACCTCAGCCACATTTTGTAGACGTGTCCAAATCACATGAACATCCTGACATTTTGCAGCATTTTAGACATTATCAGACGGCAGTTATCAACTGTTTGACATCATTGTCAGACTGTGAATGGAATATGAATGGAATATTCTATTACAAACTAATTTTTACATAATCAAAATGTCTTCTTTGCATAATAAGGTCAATAGTTGGAACATGGCTTTCCATGGCAGTAGCTGCAAGATTGCATCAACATATATTATTTCTTTTGCTACTGTTTATGACCTCAAATGAATATAAAAAATGTCCCATTTGTTTTTTCATCGTTTTTCATTTCCTCCACAGGTCAGTCTCAAGAGCTGCGAGATCTCCTCTGCAACCCCCACCTGAGGCAGTTGCTACACTCTGTTGACAGCGCAGACAGCAAAGACGACGCTATGAAGGCTGCAATGCAGGAACCTCTGTTTGTTGAGTTTTCAGATCGATGCTTGAAAATTGTAGAAAATGAAGGAAAATCATCCACATCAAATGATGCTGATGATTTCTAAAATTGTGTGTGGATTACTTAAGTGTCCAGTTCGTTGCCTTTTATATAAAATTCATGCCTTGTGATGTTACCCTGTACAGTATTCAACGTTTAAATAAAAACACTTGCCAAGTCAATACTTTGTGACATGACATTTTGTACAGTATTTCATAACACTGATATTTATTTTTGCATAACATTAATTTAGGTATCAACAAAATTCAAGTCTTTTACATGGAGCCCTGACAAAAACAGATTAAACAGAAAATAATGACCCAGATGCTGTTACATGAATCTACAGCAGGACATTACGAATGTCTACGAAAAGCTTGTTTGAATAGAAAGATGTGTTTGATCAAAAGTATGGATGAACATCAGTGTTACTATTCTAGCATCATGTATAGTTGCATAAAAAAAAAAATGTTTTCATGATTGTGAATAAGTTTGTTCCCACACAAACATTAGTGTACAAAGACTATGATAAATCATACATACATTCCTTTGGGATGCAGCTGACAAAAATCAACAAATAAAGTTTGGTCCAACATTTCATGTGCATATTATAAAGACTATCAAACAGCAGCAATATGAATAAACCTGGGTTCATCCTTTCTCAGTCTCATAAGTGATGTTTTGCTTGTTAATGTTTTTCTTTGTCAGTATGTGAGCGTGTGTGGTTGTACAATATGTGCAATACATGTGCAATACTTTTGTATTTAACATTTTCCTCAGCACCAGCCACTGTCAAAATGAGTGCTGGAAGTCAACATCTGCAATCGTCAATAGTGCAGCTGCATCACCACTTTTCTTACACCCAAAATAAATCTATAAAATCCCATAAATAATCACCTTAAAATAAATATATATACTAACAGCACTTAAATCATTTGAGAGTAGATTTAAAAAAAAGGCACTTGTCCAAAGTTTAATACTTGGATCACTTATCAGATAATCTAAAGATGCAATAATGCAGTCCAGTTCTTAAATGTGCTGTGATGGTGATCTTGAGACAAAAATATGATTTTTTTTCAACATGTGGGCCACGCACCAACAGAGGTTAACATCTTTTCATCTGCCTCATCTCAAATGTAGCAGAGGGCAGTATTTATCGACTGACTGAGATGTTTAATGTTCAGGGGTCTAAAAGCCACAGGATGACAGATAAGGTCAAGTTTGTAGCACACTGCAGTACCTTACCTGACCTATTAAGATACAAAATATTCATTATTCAAAGGTGCAGGTCTCTTCACCCTTGTGTACCACTAAGGACGATAAACTTTGGCAGCCTTAAAAAATCTTACTCTTCTCAGTTACAAAAACATGCAAATGGCAGCATAAAATACCAGGTTTGATTCCACTGTGTCAAGTGATGCATGAAATCAGGATTTAGTGTTCTGCAAAGAGGGAACACCTACAACGTTTTCTCCAGCAGGATCTCATTGAACCCTGTCACGTCACACTTTAGGTCTGGTTGCCTGTCGGCGTAGAGAAGTGGAGATCGACGGTAGTGTAGCTTTACAGATCCCTGTGTGGATAAGTGAAAAAAACACAGAATTTAACTGCACAATAGCTGTTAGCCAAGACAACAGGGTCAGCAATGCTTGTAATGATTATAAAGGTTGCGTTAAACACATTAGCTGAGGATAACGTAGGTTGTTTTCTCCTGGAAGGGGGTGATGTGATAGGAGCCTGCTAACCAGTGAAGGCTTCGTCGGGACTGAAAAACATCCTATCAGTGTCAACATCATCATTTCCAAAAGTCTCCACTTCGGCCTGTCCAGACTAAAACGTCAGTAAATCGCAGTTTTCGAGCTAAAATGTTGCCCAGAGCATTTCCAAACTTTTCAGTTTTAGCTGCTCTAAAACTCTGGGATAGTACGGACATTGTTTCCATCCATAGCAGAGTTTATACGTTTTCAAATGAAAATGTAGTAGTGTGAATTAAGCCTTTTTAGAAAATGTGTGGATGTGCCCTCACCTTCGGTTGAGCCCGTATCGAGGCGAGCCCCTGCGTGTACTGGTTGGTCTCCACTTTGTACTCCCCTCTTTTGGAGGGCAGGTTGAGAGAGGCAATCATCGATATCATCTTCTGGAAGCCTGTGGCAGTCAGAGACACAGTGATGGATGGGGCTGAAGCTAGAGCCAGGCCCATGGGCCACCCTCGCACTGTGACAGGCTCTTGGATGGTAGAGAGCTGCACCGAGCCCCGTTGGCTAATATTCAATGTTGGCACATCGTCTTCCACAAGGTCCTTAGCGTCATCAAGTTCTACCTCAGCCAAGGACGTTAACATATCCTGCCACAAGAGCCAAACAGCATTCAATTATTATCAACAGCTACATATTACTATTACTACAGCTACATATTAATAGTACTATTACTATAGTACTATTACTACATACGTAGATTTTATACAGTTTATTTATTTTCTTAAATCTCACCCTCCACTTCCTCCAGGTGTTCTGGATGACTGCAGCTGCTCTGTTCCACCTCCTGATCTGCCTCCTGACCAGCCAGGACCGCACCGCTGAAGAAAATACAGTGAAACATTCAATCACCAAACCTCATATCATTCTGAACATTTTGTCTGATTGTGGAATGGAGTGTTTACGTACTCCCACTCAGAGGGTTGTATCAAAATAACATATGTCATAAACCGTAAATCAGAAGAGATTGTGTGTTGCAGATTCTGCAGCCTCTGAAAGGATAATGGCATCAGCCTGTAAACAGTGTGTACTGACTCTGCCAGCTGGGGCCAAGGGATTAAAAGAGTTTACCTGCTTGGATCAGAGTAGCAGATGTTTGACAGACGTGGCGTCTGCGTCGCTGGTACCGCAGCCAGCAGCACTGAATGGAGAAGGCGCACTGAGACAGGATCTTCTTCCTCTGACCCTCTAGCAAATCTAGCTGTGAGACAGGGAGGCAGGTCAGTACTCCCAAAATAGAGCAGAACACAAACATGCTTTACTGTTCAGTAACTCAGCATTTTAAACACCCACTAAGGACAAGATAAGCAGGCTGAAATTGTAAGAAATGATAGTAATTATTGTAAATTTCAAAACAATTTCCCATGCAATGTTAAACATACGCTGTGTGTTGTTTGTGAAAATGCCTGTGAACATAAATGACTGACCATGGTCTGGGTGAGAAAAACTTTAGTCCTTCCACAGTGCACCCATGAATAGTGTTTTTCCCTGTGTGAGGGGTCTAAAGCCTGGTCCTGTGACACCACCCTGAGCAGCTTCTCCACCTCTTGATGAAGCACGTCACTGTTGTCAGCGTCCGAATCTGAGACAGAGACAAACACAAATTAGAAATAGAGGTAATTTCAGTAATGTCTGCGCAGTAGTCACTCAGATACATTTTCCCCACATAGTTGAGTTCTTCACGGGTCCAAATTAATTTCTCCCTGAGCCCGAAAAGACACAGGAATGGTTGAGCTGAACCCGTATCTGTCTATCATTTATCACGAGACCTGGACCTGTGGACAACCCGAGAAACATTGGACCCAAACCTGGCCCGGAGACACAGATCTTATCAGCACCGTTTTCACATCTAATTACTTTAACAAGTCAATGTGTCAAAACCAAACCTTGTGCCTAAATGTACTATTAACATAAGGTAACTTTATTTTAGATTATGAACACATTTATTGTCACAGTAAAGGACAACAAACGCGACTCGTTTATAATCAGCTTTGAAGTTTTGTTGCAGTAAAAGATTGCTTGGCTAGCTGGATCTTCTCAGGTCTACTCGGTTATTACACACTATGTTAATGCTGTCCTGGGATCTGTTGTAATAGAATGGGACCCAACCCAGACCCAACTGATTCAAACCCTTTCTAGTCCCCGGCTTTAGGACCCACAGTTCGGGTGCACCCGTGAAGATCTCTACCACATAGTATTTGTATAACAGTGTATTAGTCAGTGAAGTAAATAAAAAGGGTTTAGTGGATAAAGTTTGGCACACAAAGAAATACATGAGAATCAACAGCACAGTTTCCACAGACATGGAAATAATAAATATGGATTTAATATCTTTCACACCTGATAACATGTGTTATCATGTGAAGACAGAGAGACGTGAAGAGTTAATGGAGGTTTTAACAGCATTCAGATTTAGAGACCAGGCACAAAAAACAGCTGAACATGCAGTGAGATGAGACAAACAAGCGGAATGAGACTAATTATACAGCATTACAGAACTAGAGAACAATGTCAGATAATCAGAGGCACATGCATTTACCTTCAGAGTTCCTAATATTTTGTTAGAAAGTCCTGTTTTTATAGACCAAACTAAAAAGGCCCAAGGAGAGTAGAGAACTGAGGGTCAGAATTACTAAGAAGACTAGTGAAGGAAAAGGAGAATAACCCAGCAGACCTAAAGAGAGGAAATAAAATCAATCTTCTGTCCATAGTCAGCATGCCAACATTAACCATAGATGGACCCAGCAACAAACTGTACTCACCAACACAACAAATCTCTGAGGAGAACTTTGAATACTTTGCAATCAGCCCATAACGCTGGATGAAGCTGCTGAAAGGAATTCTGCACAACAGAAATGAAAAGTCAACCCAAATTCAAGAGAAACCAAGCAATGAGTTAAGATGATGAGCTGAACAAAGTATATATATAAATATATTTGACCTTATTGGAAAACCGGCAGCACTGATGTGTATGGTCTCCACAATCCCACAAGCCTCCAACTGCATGACAACCTGACGAAGGCGGGATAAATTGATGAAAACCAAGTACAGCCTGTCACTGTTGTCTTCGTGTTACTGCTGAAATATACAACAGTATCAAATGGGTGTAAAGCATCTACCTCCTCCTTCTGGAAGGTCAGCGGCTTGCAGTTCGGGTTTGGTTTGATGCAGCGGGTGTAATGAGGGGTTGTGCTGTGGAGGATCTTCATTAGGCTCTCCAGAGAGTTCTACGATCACACATCAACAATAATTAGAGCTGTGACCACAGCCACTCAGCAGAAATTCTGATAGGGCCTGACAAGTGAACATGACCTTGAAGATAAAGACATAAGCACCCACCTTGAACTTGGAAACCACTGTGACTTTACTGAGTCCCTTGGTGGTCAGGTTCTCAGTTTCATTATCAGTGAACATTAGGTGAAGCAGGGAGTTTCCAGACTTCTGAAGCAGGCCGATAAGCTCTGGTGGCACTGGGTCCTAAAACAAAATAATCCAGTAGGATATGAGGAATGGATCAGTTGTGTTCAACTTGTCCAGAAGCAGGTTCTTACCTTGTTTTTCTCCACCATGCCCTGGATCTGGTAGTTGACTTTGCCAGCGTAATGGGCCACAGTGAAGTGTGGCACCTCGCTGAACTTGTCCCAGCTGATGTTGACGTTATCACAGAGCTCTTTCTCCAAACGAACCCTGAATGTCTTGGCATCTGAGGTTCGATTAAGACGACTCGCCTACGGAACAGATATTTAAAAAGCTTCATAACATCACTCACTACAGATGCATTTTATACTGCACATTTAATGCCAAGAAAATAATAATCTCTTCTGCATGTAAACAAAAGCATCCAAGGGCTCATGGAAATTGTGTCTTTGTGATCTCTTTAAAAATATTACAACTGGTTTCAATACACAGAAAAATGGGAAAAGCAGCAGGTTACCTCATTCAGAAGAGAGAAAACACTGACTGGACTTCCCTCTATAAGATCCAGGCAGCTCTGGTTGTCTTGGTATTTGACAAAGGACCACTGCAGCCCCTCTGACACATATTCCTCCTGGGAGAACACGCATAACCATTCATGTTTGAATACAAAAATCTATTTTTCACATCACACACAAGATACATCAAGTTTCTGTCTTCAATAAAACTCTTCAGAAGACTGAAGAGGCCATCACAGAATTTGCAGCTCTGCTCAGATCTCTCTGCATGGAAACACAAAAGTGATTGACACTATCACTACCTGCTGAGCTCTGAGATAATGGGCCACAAAGTGCTGCTGCAGTTTCTCATTGGCGTAGTTGATGCACAACTGCTCCAGGTTATTGACCTGGAAACACTCAAACCCGTACACATCTAGGACCCCTGTGGATTACAGAGAGGAGAGGACTGAGCTAACAAAAAGAAACTGGAGGGGTTCATTTGTTGTTGTCAAAAAATGTTCTCACCTATGAAGTTGCACCATGTGGATTTGTCCGCACATATGCTGTTGTTGATGAATGTAACCAGCCACTCAAATAAACTGGGGGGGAAAAAGTGACCCATTTATTCCTATCATATAAAAAGTTGATATAAGACATATTCCTCACTGTTAATTGTAAATTGAAAAGCTGATGATTGTTTCACATTTGAGTATTAAAATGATAACAGGGACCTCAAAGGACAAAAACAAGCTTCTGCAGGACCAGATGTTATCACAGAACATCACAGTCTGTCAAACTGCTGCGTGATTTAATGATCGAATGTTCATTCTTACTGGGCGTAGATGACCTTGGCCAGACAGTCTCTCCTCATGTTGCACTCTGCCTGGGGGCAAGGCTTGAGCACACTCTGCTTCCCCGCCTTCAGAGTCTTCACTCTTAAACACCTCTGAAGCTCCACAGCAGGGACACACAGCAGCTCAGCAGACCTCTGCAGGAAGTCTATAACACAAACAGAAGGGAAGGATGTTAACTATGTGTCCATTAACAAAATGACTGTCAATAGTTAATGACAGGAAGAAGGGCAACGTCATGGGATTTGTTCTTATCAATTAGCTGTTAGACACAAAAGTACAACCTGTATTAGATGTTTAAAAAATAAAGCCCTTTCAAATCATATTATTTGGGTTTGTATCCGCATTAAATGTCTAAATTATAGATTTTAAGCATTCAGAAATATTGCAAGTTTTGATGAGCATTGATTAAATATCCCAAAGAAAATATAGCCAATACCTTGAGACTGTTCTTCTATGTCACAAGGTTGTGATTCATCCGTTGAAGAAGAGAAATTCACATTCCCCAGCTGCAGAAGCCCTGCCAATATCTGTAAACCATTATAACAAATACAAATTCTTCATCCTGTGCTTGCTGAACGATAAAGACAATTAAAAACAATAACATTGAAAGCTGAGGATCAACATCTTACCCAGAATATTTGTCTCTGTCTTTCTTTATTAATGCCCAGGTGAACCATTGCCTCCACAGTCTCATGGAAACAATCCTCTATAAAACATTTTTAAAAAACAGCATTTACTTCATTCATGTCTAAATATAGATTCAAATTTGCAAAAAAAAAAAGGTGGAAAAATCATGTAAACTTTAAGACCAACCCTCGACTGTTATTTCAGCCTTCGGCAGCCATACAAATCTTTGACCATGTGGCATCTTCCACTCCTTTCTCTGCTCATCTGTGGCCCCTTTCATCATCTGAAACAACAACACAACACTGTATATGCACAGATCTGTGACGAAGTATTAATATCAAACTAAAATACCATGTTAGTATATGAGCTGTAGTGCAGGTCAGTGAAATCACCTGGTAAAAGATGTGGAAGTTCCTCTCGTTGGCCGGTTGACAGGCCACCCTGGTCTTCTCCAGCAAGTATGTTTGCACAGATGCCCCCACCAACAGCTGACACCTTCATGTAAAATATAACAGATGAAATAAACTGTCCTGGAGATGCTGTTGAGCACGTGAGATGATGCCATGTGGCCGAAGATGAAAATACAGCAGGTACCTGTCTAGCTGGAGCTGGATGTATTTTCCAAAGCGACTGCTGTTGTTGTTCCTTAACGTGCAGGCATTGCCTAATAAAGAGTACTCTGTTGATGAGTGACTGTCTACAGTAGTGATTCAACATCAACAAGACATCAGTGATCTGTCCTCTCACCAAATGCTTCCATGATGGGGTTGGAGTCCAGCACCCTCCTCTCTATCCTTTCCACTGTGTTCTGACTCTTCACCACTGAGGAGGAGGCTGCCACAGTGGCGTAGTATTTCATTAGACAACGAGATGTCCACGTCTGTCAAGAAACAGATCATTCAGAGACCAGCAAGAATTCGACCTCAAACTGACAAAACAAGTCAAAATTTCTCTACTAAGCTTGCACCTAATCAACAGATATCATAAAACAACTAACTAGAATGGTCATGTGATGGCCCACCCAGTGACTTCCTGTTCATGTTCTGTTCAGGAGACTGGGTGGGTCGTCAGAGAAACTGATTGCACCTGAGAGGTGGGAGGAGCAAAAGGCATAAAGGGGTTGCTTCCCCAGTCTGTCCTCTCTCAGCTGGTCCTGCTGCAGCCACATGTCCTTTGTTTGGTTTGTTGCACCTTTCAACACACACTACACCATGTTCTCTCCCATCCACACACTCCTAACATGACTGATGACCTTCTTACTTACATACCCCATCCAGTAGTTACTTTGCTTGCTTTGTTTTAAGTTAGATAAACTATTTTTTGTCTTGTTATATCTATGTCTGGCCTCCCTATTTGTTGCCGGCCTTGAGCCAGGCGGTAACAGTCAATTAACAAAACTAATTGTATGTTGATTTTAGTTAAATCAAAACTGCTAACTGTTTCTCTGAGAGATCAACTATTGATCAAACTGTGTGCTGAGTGCTCAGACATATTTTGGGATTCTATATATTTTGATGTAATATTGCTAGCCAAGTCCAACCCTTCAGATTGCAACTCACAAGGGAACAACAATAGCAGAACCTGTGATTTTATTCACCATCACATCATTTGTAGTGAATATTTGAACTTATTTAAGGCTTTTATTCCAGTGGAGCCGGAGCACACCTCGACTCATTTATAATCAACCTTGTTTCAATCTTCATGCAGATATTGCATCTGTTCTGCCCAGCTAAGTCTTGCGAGCTAACGTTAGCATACATCAGCAAAGACAAACTTTGTTTCACATTGTATTTTTTTTTCTATTCCACCATCTGAGATCCACTATTACAAGGGACACAACACTGTAGCATCCTGAAAATACCAGAGCTTGAGCCTGGAAACAGATATCACACATTGCAACTTAACAATTGAATTGCTGTTCAGGCCATCTATCTTCCTCATTGATTACTAACTGATTGATAGTATGTCTTTAAATGTGGACAAAATGACTAGCTGCAATCAGACATTACTGGACGCCAAAGTGCTTTTTTTTCAAAATCTTTCTTGGGTCTGACCGACACAATCTCTTAATAAGAAATTATAGAAGTTATTAAAAAAAAACAATATGAGAGAACAGCTAAACATTCTCATACGTCAGACAGTGAAATTTTTTGTTTATATAAAACAAACCACTGCTGCCATGAAAAAAAAACAGCAGTACATCCCTCACTTCCTGTGCGTTTGAGTGCCAACACATGCAAACACCCAAACTGTCTAAAAGATCTTAGACAACAATTCATATTAATAAAAACAATTCTATTGAAAATATGCAGAAATACTTAACAGGATATGAATCACACAAGGATTTTAAATTCTTATAATAAGCATCTTACAAAACTTCAATCAGCTTAGTCTGTAAACTGGCCAATATCCAAACTCATTAAGTTGATTCTGTGAGGCAGCAAGTTAATAACTTAATATTCTGAGCCTCTGACTGATATAGTATGTTATGTTTATCTTTGGTATGACACAGTGTGAGCCAGATTACCTTTCCAGCACCGCTCTCCCCACTGACCACCAAGGATTGGTTTACTGGCTCCAGCTGACCCCGAACATTCCTGTAGGCTTCTTCTGCCACAATAAAGATGTGTGGTTTGTACTCCTGTTGACAAGAATATACACACTTTTTGAGATGCTTAAGAGTCACCGGTGCAGGGAGAGCCGTCAGTGCCTTAAAGAGTTTCAAGAGTTTAATGAGTTTGACGTTGAAGTTGTTCCCAATAAAAAGAGGCAGACGAGGAAGCGCAATATTTATGTTTGAAGAAGTGGTTTAGGTCACCAAGAAAACAGGATTATCGATGTGTCATTCATAAATGATCCGATTATTTTAAACAGCTCTTTGGTAAGAACAAAGGAAACCTTTCTCTTTTGTAATTGTGCCAAAACTTTGATGATCTAAAGTCACATTACTCCTATTTCACATGAAAAGTGAGAACACAAAATTTCTCATGCAAGTCCATACATACAAGAAGTAATTGGTGGGATGTATTAGATTGATGTGCATCATATCATATTATATCCTATTAATTATTTCACACATAAACCCCCCACTCCATTTTTTGAGCCATGACATCCGGCTCAATTTATAGAGCCAAAATTCCAATCACTACACAGTTGGTTGGTGTTTATTGCACTTTTGCAGTTTTGAAATATCAGTTGTTGATACACCCATGGTACCTGTATTTTTTAAAGATCTGCATTAGGGTGTGATTTAATTCAGGAGACATCCAAAGAATCACCCTGATGAAAAACCAAGACTTCCACCTTCACCACCCATATTTGCTCAGCATAATTAAAAGTTCTACAGAAGCATACATGCCCATATACATAGGCACACATATGAATTGCATCTTGAGACTTGTGTGATGTAAATACCTGAGGCTGAGCAGCAGAGTGATACTCCTTCATCACATCCAGAGAGTAGAGGTCTGGGATTGGCTGGAAGGGGTTCAGAGCCACCAAAGTACAGCCTGCATTTGTGTAGAACACCTTCACTCTGTACCTCGCCTGCAGGCATTTCAGCACTGGCAGGAGGAATATTACATATCAGTAGAAATTAACAGAAAAGCAAATATTTCACAGATGACAACCACCAGAGGCAGAAACATTGTTGTGTATTATTTATTGGACTGAAATGAAACCACTTTGAGATTTATATGAAATGATTTTCAATGACAAATATGATACCTTATAACAGTGTATTATTACATCAAAAATAATTGAGAGTCAAATAATAAGAAATAGCCCTAAATGTATAAGGAATACAAGAATTATTGTGTGTGAGTGTGTGCCCTTGGTTCTGTCACTTAAGTGAAAGTTGTGTATGCTGCAGCACTTTGGCTGCACACCAATCACTCGTGCATTTTTTTTCCATCATCCCTGCAGATTATATCTTGATGTGGGTAAATAATACTCAGTTAATGTTGCAGTCCAAGGTGACATGAAGTGGAAAGGACATATCATATCAAGTACTTTGGAGACTCTAGAGGAGACTTGTTTACGAGTTACCTGTTGTAGGGGTCACAGGATTGACTTTAGTGAGGTCATCATAAGTGTGGAGTTGATCTTCATCAGTGAGGAAAGCCTGAACATCTCCCTCCAGTGAATCATTTAGGGATGGATCCAGAAAACAGCGTTTGTGGGCAAATCCTTTAACCTATGTGTATAGGGCCAAATGTAAGGAAAACACACACAGAAAGGATCAGATACACGAAAAGAAAACATTTGACATAACTGCAAATAAAGTTTATTTATGAAGTACATTTAAAAACAACTGGAGTTGAACAAAGTGCTGTACAATAAAAAATACAAATAGAGTAAGAGAACATAAAAACAAAGTCATAGAACAGTAAGAGCCACACAGTACGCTTGGAGTCCACAATTCCAAATCTGCTATAAACAAGTATGTATAGGAAAAAGTAAATAAGACTTAGGCAAGGGCAGTTAAAAGCCTGAGAGAACAAGTGGGTCTTCATTCTAGTTTTAAAAGTCTCAACAGAGGGTGAACAGTTAATAGAAAGAGGTAGACTGATCCAAAGCTTTGGGGCAGCTACAGCAAAGACGTGATCACCTTTACCCCTTGGCATCAGGGATCGAGGAGATCTGGGGATGGAAAGGGGGCAGAGGAGCTCTGAGATGGGCTGGGGCACCAGGTCATGTCACACTTTAAAAACAGTTAAAAGAACCTTAGAATCGATCCTGTACCTAACCAGTAACCTATGTAGAGATGCGAGAACAGCTGAGATACTGTCCCTCTTCCTAGTACTGGTTAGCAGTCTAGCAGCAGCATTCTGCACCAGTTCCAGACGAGACAGTGATGATTGACTAATGCCCCAAAGGAGGGCATTGCAGTAGTCCAATCGAGAGGAGATCAGGGAAGAAGTGACAATCTTGAAATCATTAGAGGAGTGGTTTAAGTGTGGCTATTTTTCTGAGATGGAAAAAGCAACCTCTCATATCAGTGCTAATATGCTTGTCCAATTCCAGGACTACATCAAAGATGAGACCAAATTTTTGGCCTGGACATGAAGTTGGAACATGAAAGTCAGAAACCAGACAGCCATATCCTAACCTGTCACGTGTCCTGGACCTGCAGCCTGCCTGAGGACAGTCAACAGTCTGACGTACTAAATTTGTGCAGACAGATTTAATCCAATTAATAGCATTTAACCTACATCTCATCACTGTGAGGTTAAAGTAAATAGTCTTAATGAATGACATAAATTCAATACCTGACACTGGGGGGGACACACAAAACATCATGACATACAGTTATGTTGTGTTATGGTTTCATAAACCAGGAGCTGGCGAAAGAATAACAACTGATAGCACAGGTGCCCGTAGAACAAGACATTAAAGCTAACCTATAGCCCCTTCAAACCAAACCTCAGCCAAAAATGTACCGATTTAGTGAATGTTGTCCTGTACATAGTTACAGGCAAACACAAACAATAAGATATTATCTATATACTTCGAGCCACTGGTCGATATTGAGCGTCACAGCGGCGTGTTAGCCATGTCTTCATGCTGAAAAACACTGGACAAGCTGCTAGTGTGAGTAACAACTCAACTTCGGTACGTTCCTCTGTGTTTTCTATGAAGTTTGGCGTCATTTACTATTGTTAGACGGTCACAGTTCTGAGCTGATAATACAAGTGGGACTACGGGTGAAGTTAAAGGTGCCATTGGTATAATTATGTTCGAATGAAATCCGAAAACCTCTAAACATGTTTATTACGAGTTTCCTAACTCACCGCAGCGCCTCCATTCCTGTGTCCTGCTCCAACATTGCGTCGCTCCTCCGCAGAACTCATTGATTTCTACTTTTACCCTCGTGTCAAACCGAAAACCTGGAGGCAAACTCAACTCTCACACTAAGGCGAGCTGTGGTTCTTCTGCTCTGTGTTGCTGAACCGCCACATTTTCCATGACTGTCAGAGATCCCTCAGCAGCTTCCCGGTGTCTCCTTCAGCTTCTCCTCCAGCTCCGCCTGCTGCTCCCGGAATGTGTCCGTCCTCCCCGCTTCATTTCCCGCCCTCCTCCTCCTGCTGTTCCCCGGGACCAGCTGAGTTCACCACCACCTGTTACATCCATACTATTCTGACTGTACGCTATGTTAAGTGCTCTTTCTTTCTTGCCCAGCTTAAGACAGGAGGACAAATAACAGCAAAAGAAATGAGCAAAAGCAAGAAAACCAAACGCAAGGAGCAAAGATTTAAATGTTCGGTTTGTATTCAGGTAATATTACGCTAATGAAAACACACGTGTGATTACTATGCACCAAAAAATCCTGACCTCAGGGGGACATGAATCATAGATACATCCTCGTAATATATTGTAGTGTAAGTACTCATGCTATTTTTATTTATAATATTTTTGTTAGGTCCCGGTTGGGTCGGAAGTTCCCAGAATGCCGACTTGTCCTGAATACGTCATGGAACTGAACCCGGAAGTAAGAGAAGGAGCTCCCACGCAGGCTCCAGGCTGCGAGCGACTGTAAACACTGCTGCTGCTGTTAAACCGGCACCCTGTGAACCTGCTTTTCCAACTTATACGTGACAGAGCTCCCAGTAAGTACTGATAACACACACACATTCGATATTTTATAAATTGCCGAACTGTCGACCGGAGATCTCACTCCAAACCAGCTGGCTCCTCTTGTGTCTTTGAATCTGTAAATATAACATCACTGCGGTCAAGTGAGCAGACGTTCGTCTCTTCCTGATTTCAAGTGCGCCCGCATTACAGATGTAGTCCATGATACGGAGCGAGCCAATCTTTTATGCAACTGTAAAATCCCTTTATTCCATCATTTCTGACAAAGGTTGTCAAAAGTTGTCCTCAGGACCATCCTGACTGTTCACTCACTCAGTATCAAGCATATTTATTGTATCATTTTGGAGAAATTCAGGCTCAAAGTTCATTATTTTGAATTGAAAAAGGCATTATGCCCTTTATTTACTCTACTGTAAAATCTCTTTGATCCATAATTTCTAACAATGGTTTGTACACTTGAATTCAGGCGAACTTGAAATCAGGAAAAGACAAACGTCTGCTCATTTGACCACAGTCACCCATGCACAGTTTCTGATTCAGTGGACATTTGAGTCATTGCTTATTTACTGCTAGCTCTATAGCTTTGAGCAAAGCCATACAATACTGAATGTTTTGAAAATCGCTTCTTTTTTCAAGAACATTGGGTTCTTTAAAGAAAACGAATTGTCATATTTTTTGTTAGTATTGTTTAACGTTTCAAGAGGCCTTTCAGACTTGCACTTATGCGGGCAGTGGGGCCAGGGCGTAACTTCAGATAATCTCTCGACATTCTCTGGAGGGCCGTATGTGAGATAAGAAAGACTACTGACAGGACAGATGCACCAGATGGGCCAATCAAATCTCTGCTGATGCCACCAGCATATTCAGATTTTTGAAGTACAGTCTCTCATATTGAAAATTATGTTATTGTTTGCAGGTCATGTCTCAGAGGGAACTGAAGGAGGGGTTTGTCAGTAATCTCAATGGGACCAGTCTGCAGGAGGTGGCTCTGGGTACATTTCTCTCACCCTTGTGTCTCATCAACAGAGGTCTGATTTTGATCCTCTACCACTTGGCCAGAAGGATCCTCCCACTGCCACTCCCACTCATCTCTCACCTGCTTCTAGACTTTTCTGTGCTTATTCTTCCCCTCATCCTGTCATGCACCATCCTCAGCAGCTTTCTTCACCTGGTCATCTTGAGCTTAATCTTTGTTTCAGCTTGTGTACTTTGCTACATCTATTGCACCAACGGTCACCATTCCACTCGGCACCCAAAGACCAACGTCAGCACCTTCCTACAGTGCCACGTTCAGTTCAACCAGGTTCCTTTTGTGACCATCTTTAGAGTGTTTGTAAATGTGAAAACAGCCATCAGCATTCTCGCTGTAGACTTTAGCATCTTCCCAAGGCGCTATGCTAAAACAGAAACCTATGGGACAGGGGTTATGGACTTTGGCGTCGGAGCGTATGTCTTTGCAAATGCCCTCGTCTGTCCAGAGGCACGGAGAAAGACCATCTCAGGATCCAAGATTAATCATATCACAAAGCAGCTCCTGTCCGTCTGGCCCCTGGTTGCTCTTGGTATGGGAAGGCTGGTGAGCGTCAAAATGAGCGGCTACCACGAGCATGTGACAGAATACGGCGTCCACTGGAATTTCTTCTTCACACTTGCCATCGTGAGAGTTATGGCTTCCACAATTTTGGCAGTTTTACCAGTCAGTCAGTCGTGGGTGTTTTCCCTTCTGATCAGCGGACTTTATCAGCTCGCTCTGGAGACATCAGGGCTGAAAGCGTTCATTATCCAGAACAATGACAGAGAGAAGAACTTTCTGTACGCAAACAAGGAGGGCATATTCTCTGTGGTGGGCTATGTAGCCATCTACATGGCAGGGGTTCAAGTTGGACGTTATGTGATGCAGCCGAGATCCCAAGTTAAGGATTGGCTCAAAGCACTTTTAAACCTCTTATTTTGTAGTTTTGTGCTGTACGCTGCTTTGTACACATGTCAGACACTGGTTGAGCCAGTGTCTCGTCGCTTATCTAATTTACCCTTCTGCCTCTGGAGTGTTGCACAGTCTTTGTTCTTTATTTCCTGCCTCGGTTTCGCCGATCTGGTTTTACTGTTTTCCAAAAGCATATCAGGCTGTCACTTTGTACCCTCATCGTGGAATATGCAAAAAGGTTCAGTCTCTAACAAACAGACTGGTGAAGTTGAAAGATTCTGCCTTGTTCAAGCCGTCAGCAGGAATCAGTTGCTATTTTTCTTGCTTGCAAATGTCATGACAGGACTGACCAACTCATTAGTGGACACACTTAGCTGTAGCAGTTCATTTTCAGTGTGTGTTTTGTTGATATATATGTTCATGAATTGCTCTGTAATATATTTTTTACATCACCATGGAATAACAGTGAAATTCTGGTAAAATCTGATTTGCTAAATTAAATGGTTCATGATCTGTAAAGCTGAAGACTCTGTTGTGCATTATGTGTTTATTTATACAAATGAATACATGTTTTGATAAAATCGGAAGTGATCACTTGAAACCAGTTCCCACATGATTTGCATTTGTTGATGTTAAGAAAAAAGTGGAGTAATTGCTCCCTCACCCAAAAATAAGAGTTATGGCTGAAATATATGAAATAATATACAGCAGTGGGAAGGCAGAATTGTTAAGGCTAGTGTATTAATGTCAAACAAACTGTATTCATTCATTTTACCCATGTTTACATGTAAAACTGAAATATGACACATTTTCTGTTTTTAAAGTTGTTTGTCAGCGGGTCAGTTGGTTAGCTCTGCATGCTCTGCCATGGGTTGTCGTAGAGATCATGGTGATGGACTTTGTAACCCAGGCCAGTTACCTATCCCTAATCATAACCCCCACGTACTATCCCAGATCCCCATTTTTCATGATTCCCACTGATGTCTATTACTGGTGACTATACAACAGCATTCAGAGTGTAAAATGAATGCTGCACTATCACTCCGTATCACAACCAGTCACCATTTACTTCTCTATTTTGAACGAAAATGTCATTTTGCACATTTGTGTCCTCTCACACATTATCTTTATAACATATGCCAATTATATTTTATTGTATTGTATTGTGTTTTATTATTACACATATATAGGCCTCTGAAATTCACCCATATACTGTATATACACACACAAACACACCTTAATATTAGTATATTAAATGAGATCTACTGCTTTTTAGTATAATATGACGAATATATATGTATATATATAAAACCAAAATATAAAATTGTATGTTCATATTGCAAACCATACACTAACAACAGTCTCTCAGTCTCTCTCACTCTGTCTCTCTCTCACATACACATGTATGTGCGTGTGTTTCAAAATCATCCTGGGCTGCTCAAGTACATTTCTCTCTGAGTAATATTTCTCTCTGTGGTGAAACGTGTATATTATGTACATATTCTATGCATCTTTATTTTTTATGCAATTGCCTTTTTCTTCTCTCGTCTGCCTCATTCTGAATCTGCTGTAGCAGCAAGTGAATTGATCTTATCGTGTTTGTAACTTATTGTATGTCTCTGTCAAGTGAGTCTAGGGAATAAATCAGACTGTGGTCTAAACAGAAAAACTCTGTCCTTGTATAAATGACTGTATATCATAGACTGTATATCAAGGCTATACTGTATATCCATACTGAGCCACAACGCGCCCCCTGGCGGCCACTTGTGTGATAACGTCAGCTACTACGTCGGAGGGCAAAGGTCAAATCCGTCATGAAGATTCCGCCACCGCAGCAGCTCCACTCACTGTCGCACTTGTTTATTTTCCAGGGGAACTTTCAGGAGCTGGTAAGTTCGAACAGTAGCAGCTAGTATCGGGATGTGTGGATATTGTGTCACGGTGACCGCTCATGTTTTGAGCTGTAGTTAGAGGAGCTGTTGAAAGTAGCTGTCGCTAAGTGGCCGCTCACCTACTCAACTTTATATTAGCCGTATCCAAGCTTGCTAACGTTAGCTGTGCATGGTAGCCAAGCTAACTAGTAAGTTAGCCAAGTTCGCGTCAGGGCGTAGAATAATTATATGATCGCTGCAACGTATTTATTCTTTGTGAAGGTGTTACTAACTTCACTTTACAGTGGAGGCTAATCGCTTTAGGGTACAATGCTTAGAATACAGCGACCGGCTTCCTCTCTTCGTTAACCCGTGCTGCCATATGAAATGAGCTAGCATGCTAACCTAAAGTGACTAGCCATCGGTTACTATTCTATCATATCGACCCCACTAAAAGATGTTAGCGTACTTCAACCAGTCTTCATAACTTTAACAGTTTTAGAACTGCAGACAGGTTTTCCACACAACATCCTCATACCTCTTCCTACACGTTAGCTTTCGTCTCCCATGTTGTTCAGCTAACTTAGCTGCTTAAATCTGGGTCAAGGCAAATCTGAAAGACGTGCGTCGGTTCTAGTGACGTTAAATTAAATGTAGTCGACCTCAACACCATCGGGACATGTTGCGACGTGTTTTAGTGCCAGGTCGTGTGAACGGCAGGCTTCACCGAGAGAAGGTGATGTTGTAGCTGCAATGACCTGCAGTCGACTAGCATTAGCTCTTAGCAGCTGTGTGCTGTTGTCTGATCTGATCGTGTTGCGTGTTCCCTACAGGCGAGCTGCACCATAACCCACACTGGAATAAGTCATGGCACGTCTGGTGGCAGTGTGCAGGGAAGGGGAAGAAGACTACCCGTTCCTCGCCAGGCAAATTCCCCTGTATATCGATGATACTCTCACGGTAAGCAAGCTCTTCCATGTGTGTGATCACAAGGAGAATGGCTGCTAAGACCTCAAGTGGGATGTGGCAAACACAGCCATCTCCCTCTTTGGGTCAGATGTTTGTGCTCCACATCATTTCCATAACATTTGGTGTCTAGAAGCAAAGGTGCAGGTGTTGCATGAAGAAGGCCCAGCCTGTTTGAAGGACAAACATTTTATCTTTTTTTTTTTACTTTGATATGCTAATAATCATACAAGTGTATCAATACATTTTAAGGTGTACTTAAGTAAGTTGAGTACATTCCTATGGATTTGTATGGATAACAAACTTTGCCAGAGGTTATTGAGCCACCATGACCTTTTTAAAATGGTGTGGTACATATTACAGTCATACACCTAATGTATCTCTCTGAGGGTATTCTCCTACTTTTGTAGATGCTTTAAGAAAAAAGTAATGACCACCTGCCAGCAACTAAAAGTCAATCATTTTTAATTGTACAAACGTTAACAACCAAGGGGAGCTTGATTGGAGTTTGATTATTGGCATGTGATACTTACTAAAACATGACCCAGTAGTAATGTGTTCTGTGATACAATATTGCCAGAGACATTGATGTTTATTAACTGTTGTGGTTCGTCTCATGTTGCCAGATGGTGATGGAATTTTCTGATTGTATCGTGGATGTTGACAGCCACGAAATAAACCATTCTCAATGGAAACAATTTTCTGAGGTGAGTTGTTTGATTTTACACATAGTGACCTCACCTTTAATGAATGAAGCACTTGATATATCCCTGCATACATGTATAAACGCACCACACTGTTGGTGTGGGTCTAAAAGCTCGAGACCAGGTCCTTGTGATAACGAGTGTGTAGTTGGTCTTCATGTGACTTCCCAGCAAAGCGGTGACATTGGTTGTTGTTTCCTTGTCTTATAGTATCACTCCAAGCTGAAGCAACAGGACTTGAATATTGCCATGATGGTGACATCCAGAGAGGTGTACAGTGCATTATCTCAGCTGGTGCCATGTGTGGGCTGCAGACGAAGTGTGGAGCGCCTCTTCTCACATCTGGTGGAATCAGGGAATCCAGCTCTGGAGCCTCTCACAGTGAAACCCACAGGCATGCTCTCTGTCACCAAGGCCTGTTTAGCAGATGTGAAGAAGCTTTACACCCTCTTCTACGTTCATGGGTAAGATATAGTGAAATGTGGTGGTATAAAAGATAAGCCAACACAAACTTTAAATCAATATGACAAAAGTTGTTATGAACACATTAGTTGGCTTTCGGCCTTAATTTTTTGTTGTTTGTCAAGTCTTTTGACACTTAGATTTGACAAGGGGCAAATTAATGAACAAAACTAACACAAAGAATGATGATGCTAATTTTATATTAACTCTTGAAAACAATATTGGGTTTGTTACTCACTTTTTTCTTTTTACAGGACAAAGTTGAATGACATGATTGATGCCATACCGAAAAGTAAAAAGAACAAGAGGTGCCAGTTACACTCCTTAGACACACACAAACCTAAGCCTTTGGGGTGAGTATTTTTTCTAGTTGTGCAAGTTTTTCCTCAGAATGTTTTGAAAGTATTGTTTTTTTAGGCTGCATTTGAGAAGTGGACTAGTCACTCTTCCCAGCAGACAGGACTGTTGTGTTTAAGTTGTCCTCTCTTAAAAGTATAGTGACAGCTCCTCCAACTAAATTCTGCTGTGAAAACTTCCTGTGATCACGTTTGTCCCAGATCAGATTCATCATTATGAGCAGTTGATTATATAAAAGAATTATGAAGCTTATTTATGTTGCTAGAACCTGAGGGAAGTAACAGCATAAACACACACACACACACACACACACACACACACACACACACACACACACACACACACACACACACACAGTGCTGCTCTGTTCTGTGTGTGCATCTGTCTCCCTCTCTCTCAGCTGACGTCTCTAACTCACTACAGTCTGTTTGTCACCACAATAACAACATTTCATCACATAATGATCGTTTCTTTTATTGATGAGTTAAATCTTTCTTCAGAACAGCGCATTCATCAGCCACTCGCTCTCTTTTTTTCCCCTCTCTCTCTCGGAGACACATGTATGAACTCTGAGTAAAAAAAAAAAAAACATTTTGTAAACTTAGTAAATGTATAGAGCTGGAAGAGAATGCGTTGTTTTGACGCAATGCACAGCGTGAATGATAGCGACACAGAGGAGCAGTAATTTACTGAGACAGATGTAAAAAACTGTAAAAGAATTGTACAGTCCAAACATGTAGACCCCACATTAACACTGTAATTGGACATAGTGGAGCTGTACATGGCTCCCTGGGTGTCTGCACCCATCTTGGGGCGCTGCGGCCGGGCTGTGAGCCTTCTCCTGGCTGTGGAGATATCCATGGTCAGTAGCCAGGGACTGTTTATGTTTATTTAAGTCATATCGTCATCGCGATATTAAACGTTATCGCATAACGCATGTTTTCTTAATATCGTCCAGCCCTACTGGAAGATGACATGGTATGTGTCTTTGTAGAGACTTGTGTAGAGTAGAAGGTAGGCACAAGATAAAAAGAACAGTTTAGCTCTAACTCCAGCCTGAACATTCTCAAACAACTCCAGTACCTCATCACTTTGTAGGATGTACACAAATACCATTGCTGCAGAACTTGGTGATAAAATTAATGTCTTTGTAATGACAAATGGTATTTGGCCTGTGTTTTTTAAATTGGCAATCAGTATTATGAAAATAGTTCTGCAGAGATTAATTTAATCTTCATGATTACTTTGGGTGTTTTCTGTTAAATCGGTGAAAATCTCCACCTACGCAAATGTTTAGTACCATTCTTATCTTGGGTTGTGTAAATACTGAAGATCTTTCAGTAGGTGACTGTTTGGCTGGGATTGAACAGTCAAATTAATCTCCTTAACTGAAATGTATAGTGTAATTTAAACAAGGTCATTACACATATCTGTCATTTGTCTCACCCACTGTAATATTTGGATAATTATTTGTTGGAAATGTGCTCGGGGACATAAAGCAGTAGGTCCATGCTTTTAAGGCTGTGGATTCTGGGAAAAGAAAACCTCAGTCAGTGTGTAGTGAACATAATGAAGCATTAAACTGCTTAAGAGCCTGACATTTCCCTCATGAGTTTGGAGAAACTAAAACAAAACTAAAAGGATGAATTAGGTTGGTATTATAATCACTAAGTGACCAGAAACAGGAGTCTTAATATCAAATATCCTTTGTCTATGTCACCGTATAGTCAGTGTTGTGTTACCACTTACTTCTGCGGCATCGAAGTTGGTTAAAAATCAGCAGCTTTAAGATAATTATACATTGTGATTGCATTGCTACAATAATAGGATGTTTGCTTACAGGGGGAGCTGGATGGATGTGTGGGAGCTTATGTCTCAGGAGTGCAGGGATGAGGTGGTCCTCATTGATAGTGCCTGTCTCCTAGAGACACTGGAGACATACTTGCGTAAACACAGGTAATACACGCTTGTCATAGCTTGACACAATTTTC